TTAATTATTTAATAATACTCCCTCCATCTCAAATTATTTAGGTATTATTAACTTTTCAGAGTTTAAGAAAAAAATTTTGACTTTTGTCTGTTTAATATTAAATTTAAATTTTTTTATAAAATTAAAGTTCTATTTTTTTAATGTCTAAAAATAAAAAAAATCATAAAAATAATTTTAAAATATAAAAAAATAAAAGTTTTAGATTTTATAAAAAAAAACATAGACTTAATAATTAAAAAAAATGGATAAAAAAATGAGACAGAAAAAGTATGTAATTATATGTTCATATTATAATTATTATTTAAAACAAATAAAAAAATATATTTAATATACCAAACAATAGAATTTTTTTTAACTCTAAAAATATGATTAAGATAGTGAGTAAAGAATTATCTGCACTTTTTAAGAAGTAGTGAAAGCTTTCATTACTTTATCTAAAGGTCAATAATGCATTTTCACTTAAAATTTATAATTAATATTTGTTCAAATTATTTTTATTTTTTAATTAATTTTTATTTATTTTTATATTTAATTTAAAATTATTAAATTTCAATCATAATTTAGGTAAAAAAGGCATTATTGACTCTTAAATAAAATATTAAAAAACTTTCACTACTTTTTAGGTAATAAAAAAGATCTTTTCCTAAGATAGTGACACATATCTCAATTTTTTTTCTAAATTAATTTTTTTTTTACTTTTTAAATATAACATAAAAGGCATACGTTACCATTTTAATCCATTTATAAAATTATAAAGTTCTACTATCATCATCGTATTTGATAATTTTTCAAAAATTATTCACATATAATGTACGTTATATCAAACAATGTAGTTGAGCAACAAACATGAAAATTTGGATCCATCTTGGCTTAGCATATTCATCAAAGGCATTTCATTAGCACATGATATTGTTTAAATTATTATAAAGTTGAAAATATTATTTTTGTCAAGATTTTGTCTCCATGATTTATTCATGTGTAAAAATATATATTTTTATGAGAGAAAATGTATAAATGATAATGTAAAAAAAAAAAAAAAGCAGGTGTAGGGTCTTCTTGGCCTGGCTAAAGCTTTTATAAGAAATACTATAAAAGTATTGTAAAAAAAATTAAAATAGCATTTAGCAAACTTAATATTAATGCAAAAATGTTACAGAATGTTAAAAAAATTATTTAATAATATTTTGTTCATTATTAATAAATAAATAGTAATTTTATTAAATAAAACTACAGTTTTTTAGGTAAAAATATATAAATAAAATATATTTGTATTAATTATAATAAAAAAATAATAAAAAATATAATTCTCTTTATAATTTTATTAATTATTAAAAAATAGAGTGATAATGTAAAAAAAATTTTATTTAAATGTATTATTAAAATTAATACTTTTTAAAAAATTTATTTTATAACTTCACGTAAGAACCAAATTTACTTCTCCTTACGCAATAAAATGGTATTTCCAAAAACTGCGCCGATCCACCACTTGGAAGATTGTTTCAGATGAGGACCGCAAGGTCAAACATCTAACCCGACCCAAAACCCAAATCGAATCTTGTCGGTTTATCTCCATCACAGCAAGCTCTAAAAATCACTTCCATTCTGCGGCGCAGCGCAGGCCTCCATAACCAACGCCTTCAGCTCAGTCTTTGTTTCAATTTCTTTCCAACTTAAATATTCCATTTATTTACTCACAAACTACTCCATTTTTTTATTATGGATGAATCTTCTTTAACCTTTGACAGTCCTTTTATTCCATTTACTCAATAGTCATTGATGAGCTGAAATGAAGTCAACTGTTGAAATTATAGATGCATAAAGGGGATGCTAAATCATATGAATTACTCTTGCGTAATGAAATCGGACTCTGTGGGAAAGCAGGAAATGCTTGTGCATGTAATATATTGAGAAATTGGACTCTCCAGAGGCTCAAATGGGTAAACTGCATGTAGCACAGGTAGGTATCGTGTTGGACTAAAAACTTCCAATCCAATCACATCAGCGGAAACAAAATCAAACAATAAATCAAATACACAAGAGACAATAATTTAACTTGGTTCGATCTAACTAACCTACATCCACGGATGAAAAACAAGATCCACTAGTTGTAGAGAATTACAAACATACATCATATCATCAACCTCACTCAACAATCAATACTCATAAGACACTCTCAATCTCTTCTAGTCCTATGAAATATTCTCAACCCAAACAAACACAAATCCAAACTCTTGTGCACCCTTTCAACACAACCAAACACATACCCATATGTTCTCATACATCATACCTATACATAGACCTTCTCAGTCTCTTCTAGTCCACTCACAAACAAACATACATACCCATAAGACGTAGAGCCCCAATACTCCTATGTCTATCCCACAAAACCCTACAACTCTCTTACATCTTTTTCTCATACCAAATCCTGTGGAGACTTCACCTATTTATAACCATACAAACTTGTCCATTAAGAATCATTCTCCTCTTAGAATTCTTCTCCTGTAAGTCAAACTTGTCTATTAAGAATCTCTTTCCTTTTAGAATTCTTCTCTTGCAAGTCAAACTTATCTATTAAGAATCATCTTTCTCTTAGAATTCTTCTTTTGCAAGTCTTTTTGTCCATCAAGCAATATTTGATAAATCTCTAACAAATCCCAAACAAATCTCTTATGGGATTTGAGTCAATATTCCCAACACATCGAGCATGTGTGAGAACAAAGAACTGAACTGTAGAAATCAAGTTTGCAATTTGATGTCAGCGTTTTATTCTAACCCCATTCTCTCTGTATGTGAGGAAGAAATCCAGCGAACATTTCATATGCCGTCTTAACATCCTTCTCAAAACTAAGAGTTGGAAACGCTGGTGCCTTGTAGTGTCAATTATTCATTTGTTTATTGCTACTAACAGCAAGTCAAAATCTGCCTAGCTTAAATAACTTCTTGATGTCCAACAACCCCTGCTCAATCCCCCCAGTGGATTTAAGTTGATAAATGGTGCATTTGAGTGGAATCTTAAATTCAGTTTTCACCATTGGCCAAGGGACATAGTGTAATCAAATGATTGTGTTGATTTGCAAGTTGCTGCTTTCTTCCCTCTGATGTATATGTGTGTCTGCACCTATTATTCCTTGTTCAAAATTGGAATGCTGATGTTCTACTCGTTCACACCAAGACAAACAAGCCCAGTCAGCCTGCTTATGATATTCTTGCAATTCTTCTTTTTTTCTTCCATCTTTGCAACTTTTACTTGCCCTCCCATTTTTAGAATTTGCAATGGATCTCACTCGTAAATGTCTATCAGGATGGTCGCACGATATGCTCCTTCAATTTCATATAACTTTCTCAATCTTATCCATCTCCCTGGAAATAGGAAATCAATCTTTGAGAAGGTCAGTGCTTTTTTTACTTCATTGTGTTTTTCTTGACAACATCCAGCCATATTGTGATAGTAACGTTTCAATTTTATGCACCAGTTCTGCAAAATAATTTATGGTTCTTAAATTGCAACCCTGCAATTGGGATTTATGTGATAAGCACAGGATAATGGGGCATTTCAATTATTTTTATATTGCCTCTTTTGCCTACTGCAGTGATGTTCTCCTTTTGGAGAAAAAGTTGATGTTGATAAAAAGTGTTGAAACTTTATCATTTCACAAAATGTTTGCTCACACCAATCTTTTTAAGATGCATAAATTGTGCGATATTTTCTTCTGGGAATCTATGCTTAAAAAGGAAGACCAAAATATTTATTATGAAAAAAATGTATATTTCTCTTGAATGAAACAATTTTATACCATAAAAACTGTATTTCATTGGGCATGGAAAAGGGAGGATGCAAGAAGGATGAGTTCTTATAAGATCAAAATTTGTTGAATAATTTAGATATATACAAAGCTTGTTACCGTGGCATGTGTACTGGAATATTTAGTTTCTTAAACTGTGAAGTCCCTTGTCTCAGAGACATTTAAAATCTGTCATTTTGACTAAACAGAAATGTGGTTTGAGTTACCCCTTCCTTTTAAGTATTTGATTATCTTACTTGAAATCTCATGTGACATCAACTTATATGCAGAGAATGGGGAACATAGATGATGATGTCCCTTTCTTTGGTAAAGGATTCAATAAAATCTATCCCCTCATCATGGTTATATACACACTCTTGTGAAAAACTTCTTTGATCGTGTCATTGATTATTTTGGGAACTGGAAGATATTCGAGTTTCATGATGAAGCTGGTGACACAGATGGATTTGATCCATTAGGACTAATTATCTTGCAGAAAGGTAATTACTAAATATTGCCATCAGCATGCACAATGACAATTTCTTCATTGTTCTCTGCAAGTACAAGTTATAAATGCTTCTGTTTCTTTTTCAGAACGGTCTTGGCTTGAGCGAGGGCATAAAGTCGGTGAGCCTGATTCCATTGGCGAGGAATTTCAACGGCATTAGTATTGGGTTGAACCTGGCAGCAATAACACAGTATGTGTATTCTACTCTTGTATTTAGAACTGATGTCTGGTTATATCTAAAGCATGCCAATGACTTTGCTGGTGCACATTGTATTGAATCATCCATGGTTATCTATCTTTTGAAAATGGTATATCAGGATAAGGCTGCTACAGATACAAGAGCTGCACACAGTGCCGCTGAAATTGGAAAGATGGGTGAATCTAACCTCTGAAAGAAGAACACAAGCAGAGAAACCATTTCTGTTGATGTTGGCAACTCTGAAAATGCAAGAGCACCACTGTCTGGGGGATTAGTCTCAAAATGGGAATCAATGAAGTCCGGTCATCAAAATTTCAAATCTAACCTAGAAGCGAAGAAACTCCTTCCTTTACGTCAGACTTAAGAAAATAAGGTGTCCTCCAGTGCTTCCTCGTCTGAATCTCTTGATGAAATTTTCCTAAGATTGAAACAACCAACTCTGGACCTTAGAGTCTATGGTGCTGACCAGGATTCATTTTGAACATGATATGGAATTCGGTAAATTTGGTCCATCTTACCACACATTTTCCGGGACAGAAGCTGAAGACATCTTCGTTTCACACCTAGTCTAAAAGATGATTGTTTCTGAGGCAAAGCTGAATCTGCAGCAGTAGAGCAGCATTCAGTATTATAGCAAAGCCACATAATTTTGCTACATCTCACTTTCTCAAGGAAAAAATGAAAAAAAAAGAAACGAACATACAGTCAAAACACCGGATCGATCCAAAGGATACTGCACTTGTAATAGTAAATATTACAAGGTTGATCATGGACTTTGAATGATTGCTTCCTTTTCAACTGCAGATTATTCGTTGAATCTAATATTATGGGGGTTGTCTCTAGCATTAAATGAAAGCCACTCTCAAATTTCTCTTGTTTTATTTATTTTTTTCAAGTTAGAGGCTATGCTGGGCTGTGTATTTCCTCTGCTATCTCAAACTGGCCTTCTCCAATGTATTTATAGCCGTTTTTCCGCTCTTACATCTGCAATTATAATTGGAAGAGAGCCATGGATTCGCAAAAGAAAGAGGTACCCTTTCGGCTGGCTGCTTTCGGCGGTGGAATATCTGATACGTTGCCACTCCGATCAGCTCCGTTCAATCATTTTCTCTCCTGACACTAAACTTCACTATCCTCTCTCTCTCTCTCTCTCAGCTTTTAAATATCTTTTCTCATTTTCATCCCCTCTTTCTTTCTATTTTTCTGTGCAGTTATGCCGAGCTGATGGATGCTGATGCTCCTGTAACCCGCCTCGTCTTCGCCAACCCAACTGACCATTTGAGATTCTTTGACCAAACCGCCATTTTGGCTCATGCAGTCTCATCTAACTCAAACACATTACGCAAAGTATTTATCTTTATGCTCCTTACTAAAAAGTTACCTGAATTAAGGACGGAAATGGATGTGGGTTTTTGTTCATGCTCTTGATTGCCCAATTTGACCTTTCTATATTCATGAATTTCAAGTGGATATGAAATGTGAATCTATGTATGTAGTCTTGTATTTCCTTGTGGCCTAAATTGCTCGATACAGATTATAGAATGATGGTTAGAAATAAAACCTACAGCAATGGCTCAATCGTTGTTTCTATCACTAATATGAAGGAAGGGATCTGACTTCCAATGCTGTAGATGAAACAAGCTACTTTAAAGGATAGAAACAGGGAGCTTTCCAGCAGAGCAAGGTTAGTAAGCCGTAACCTTAATGGCTAAAGGTGGGATAACTTGATTGTGGAGGCATCACTCCTTGAGTTTCTTTCATAAAAAAAGTATCTTCAAGTTAAGAGAATAGTTTTGAGCAATTTAAAGCTGGTGGTTTGGCAAAAATGCACTAGTCGACTTCTGGGATGCGTGCTTATCTTCATATTTACCAGTTCCAATGTGGCAATAGACCAGCAATTTCTTCACTCTGTCAACTTTGGAGTTTGCCTAAGCCAGTAAATCTCGCCAGGTTTTATAGCAAAGCAGGGAACTATTAAGAGTTTCACACAAGATATGGAAGGACAGAAGTGATGGATTGACAAGAAAAAAGAGTGCATCTTAAAAAAAAAAAAAAATCATATTTGAATCGGCAATGTAAACCTGGCGAAATGTTCATTCACATTTAAAATAATAAAAAGAGAAAACAAAAAATAGCCAAAGCTATAACTATAAAAATTTTCTTTTAAGTAAATTGAGCTCAATTGTTCCCCAAAATCTGACGACTTACAACAAGGACGAATGACACTCACAGGGTAATTGAATCAGTAGAGGCCCAAAAATTTCCACCAGACAGCTCCAACAACACCCCAGATGATGGCATTAATAAAGGCCATTACAAATCCCATTTTGAATACGTCAGGTAGGTCTACGTATCCAGCTGTAAATAAAAGTAAAAGAATTTATCAGTCGCCCAATCAAGTCTTTAATTAAAGAAACACTAATAAGATTTTTTTTTGGATGATTTGAAAGTGTTTTTCAAAAAAATTCACCATTCTTGTCAATAAAAGGAAGGAGAAACAAGGAAATTGATAGGCCAATTTGAGAATGATCTCTTGCCAAATGCGCTACTGTATATCCAAACCTATTACATTGTTTTCCATCTGCCTACTGTATATCCAAACCTATTCTCTTGTTTTCCCATCTCATCAAAGTCAAGTACATGTACACACCCATGCACAAGACCATGGAAATGTACAGACACACACACAAAGGAGATATATATATTTAGTAATAAAAAGCAGACTTTATGGTAGTGTAAAAAGGCATGGTGCTCATATGCATGTGTACATAAATCATGAGAGAGTGATAGATAGAGAATACACAGTCCATGCAAATACATAAATCATGGGAGAGCAACATGAGAGAGCAATAGATAGAGAATACATAGTCCATGCAAAGTTAGCAGAAACAGAGACACACCTCCATAATAGACAGCAGCCTGACCACTGCTATAATGTGTTAGGGCACCAAAAAGATTGGTGTTGTAAGCAAGAGCCAGCGCTGCTAATACGCCAGGCACTCCAGCCACCAAGTGCATAGCAAGAAAAGCAGAGTATAATGCTCCTACATGACCAGTTTGACTTGCAAATAGGTAGTGGATGAAAAAGTAGGATGCCTGAAGAACACCAAATGCAGCTGGCCAGCTCAAAGAAAGAGATTGAAGGATCTTAGCTACACAACCAGACATCCAGCTCACTATCCCAAGGTTTGTCAGTTGGCCTGCCATGCCTACCAAAACAGCAAACCAAGCCAATGTATCCCAAGCTGATTTTTCACTTAAGCAGTCATCCCAGTCAAGCACTCCTAACAAAAGGAGTATTGATAAACCAATCATCGCAGCCACAACACTGGGTATACCGAGACTCTCTCTGTATATGATCAGGAAATATCGACAAAACATAAAAATATAATAAATTACATGTTATGAAACAAACATCAAAACATAAAAATCACAGCTTCAAACTTGCAGCCTATGAGCATGCGTGGATGTTATCCTTAAATGATAAGAACAATGGTTAGAGCAATACATGCATACAGGTCAAATCTAAGAATCTGATTCATGTTGGCAAAAACCAAAACTGACAGAAAGTTTTCTATTACCTTAAACTATAGAAGGCAATATAACATCAACATGCAACATTTAAAAATGATAACTTCCAAGTGTAAAATATTTAATGGCACTATACGAAAATGCCTGCTAACAACAGGACCAATATATGTTCAGAAAAACTAAAATGCAACAAGTTACAAGTGAAAATCTTATTTGCATGTTGATGAGAAAATGCACCTACTAAGGGCAAATGTTTACTCATTTTATGAACAATCATGCTTCAAAACTTCAAACTACATTTGTCAAAATAAACCATTTCCTAAACAATGGAGCACCCCATTGATTGAAGTTTGACTTTGTTGATACATCCACAACTTCCACTAGCTATTTTTCGTGTCCCGGTGTCCTGATTTTATAACCGATATGTCATATGTATAATCACATTTTTTTTTCAAATAAGCATCAAAAGTAATATACCATCATTTTAACATTCACATGACAGTAGACTTAGCGGGGGCACAGCTTAAAAAATAAAGTGTAACAAGTAAATGGAGTTAAAGAAGATGTAGGTATTTATATACACATACAGGAATTTCATATACACACAGACATTAGATACGAAGACATCAATTTCTCAGTTAAAATAGAAAGAAACGTGAATTGGTATGATGAGCTGCTACTTACCCACAGACCCATAGAGTAACTGCAAAAAGCATTGTTCCAACCATGATCCATTCATTTCTTGAGACAGGACCCATGTGCTCTAACTTCTTTGCTGCTATTGCAGGGGCATCTGGCGTATCTTTGGTTTCAGGAGGATAAAGCTTGTATAAAATAAGCGGAGTAAGCAGTAGAGAGACAAGTGCTGGTAAACTAGCAGCCTTGAACCACGAGACCCAAGGGCTTGAAATAATAATTCCAAGCTCTTCTGCTAATTTGAGGCATAGCAAATTTTGAGCCGCAGCAGTCAGGAAAAGTGCACTAGAGTTGCCTGTAGACTGTCATAGACGATCCATGAGTAATGCATGAATCAAAGTTACTAATGCAAATGCGAAAATTAAACAATACACAGAACTACAGATATTGACGAGTTCAAAACAGAGAAAAGAAAGAGTAGCTTCATTAAAACAGAGAATCCAGATTACAGTAACAAAAGTCTAGTTCCGCAATTTAACAGTACAAAGTTAATTATTCCCACCTATAAATTCAAATTTATAATTACGAAATATATAGACTATGCAGGTGATTATCACTATTCATCAAGAAATGAGGCCAACCTGAAACTGCGTTTGAATTAGATAACTCCCAAGCTTCCGAGATGATGAATCCCCGGGCCGACTCCCAGCAGACAGAGACAAGGACTTGATAATGGGTAAGAAAACCCCACCAGCTCTCGCAGTAGTACTAGGCATCGCCGGCGCAATCAAGGCCTCACTTAAAGTCAGCCCATAAGACAATCCCAACGTGCTTTTTCCCAACCATTTGACGAAATAAGTAGCTATCCTATCCCCAAGCCCCGTTTTAACGAACCCACGAGCGAAGAAGAAAGATATGACAATCAACCAAATGACTTCGTTGGTAAAGGCAGCGAAGGCGGTCGTAAACGGCAGCGTTCTGGTTAGGATGGAAGTTGTGAGGCCTAAAAAGGCCCATGCCCCGACCGGCAAGGGGCTTAAGACGAGACCGGCGATTGTCGATAAAAAGATGGCGAGAAGTTGCCAGGCTTGTGGGGTTACTTCGACGGGTTTGGGGACCAGGAAACGAACAATGACGCCTATGGAAATTGAGATAAAGAAAGGAAGGAGTTTGGCTCCTTGAGGAGGGGCTGAGGATGGGGTGCTGTCGTTTTGAGAAGAGGCACGGATAGGGGAAAGGAGGAGCTTGGGTTGTTTGGGAAGTGGGGAAAACAAGACGGACTTGAGAGGAGATCGGAGGGTGGGGAATGGAGAGGAGGTGAAAATGGATGGTTGGGATGATTTGGAGATGGGTTTGGAGCGGAGGTGGAGGGAAGTCCGGGAGGAAAGTGAGAAAGGAGTGGTTGTGGCGGTTGAGAAGGAGTGGAGGGCTAAGCTCTCCATTGTTTGGATGGAGAGAAAAGAGAGGAAGAAAAACTGAAATTCAAGGAAGGGGAAAGACAAAGTCCAAGGAGTGGACGAACCAACGGAAATCCCAAAGAGCGTAGTTAAACTGAAACTGGTGATTGGTGGTGAATCGGGTCGGGTTTGTGTCCTTCTGACGGAGCGAAAATTTTCTGTTTCTTTTTAGATTTTTATTTTTATTTGAGGCTCCGTTTGTTTAGAGGGAAACTTTCATATATTTTGGTACATCTCTTTTTCTTTTCTGGATAAGGACATTTTCCTTCCAACCTTTCTCTTTCCAATTTTTTTGCTAGCCATTTGATTCGGAAATGGAATAATTATTGGTTGAAATTTAATTTATTCGGAGCCGTATTTATTTAGAATTGCTTTAATTCCTCTGTCGTGTTTTAACTAAAAATAATAATTTGAATTTTGTAATTTATATTTTAAATTTAATAAAAATAATAATACTTACAAAAAACGAAACTTTTCACAGAAAAATAAAATATTAGTATCTTTTATAAAATAAAATAAAAATAAGTTATAAGTATTAAATTTTAAATTTTAATATAAATTAATTGAGTTAAAACATGAATTTATATTATTATCTACTTTTAACAACATAACTGGGTTTTTTTCAGTGATTTGCGCGATTGATCTGTTGTATCTTATCAAGTCTTTCATCTTGAATTTCAAAAGAGTTCAACTCTATCTTAAATAAAAAAAAAAAAAAATTAAAAGTGTATATAAAGTATAAACCACCCTTACTAGTAGAGGAAAAGACGACGGCTACATTTCGCAACAAAATTCAAGCGTCTACGGCCCAATCCAAAATTACCCAATCTGAAGTATAACCATCCTATATTATATCGCATGCAGCCTGGGCTTCGCCCCCAATTGAGAAAGATTGGATTCGTGCATAAGACATCTGCCATGGCCCAAAATAAGCCATCCACAATCCACGTTCAAAATATATATATTTTTTAAATTAACAATTTGATGACATAAGAAATAGTTATGAAAGAAGAATAATAATTTTAGAGAATAGAAAAATAAAAATATAAAAAAATGCAATATGAGTTTCATTAGAGTATTAAATATATATATAGATGTTACTAAAAATATGAAAAAAAAATATAAATTAAATAAAAATTACAAATGTTATACAGGCTTAAATTTATAGCATAGTACTATATTTTATTTGGTGTAACTTAAATTAAATAAAAAATTTATTTATATAAAATTCAATTTGACCCCTAGTAAACACATCATGGTAAGCATCATTATCCATATGCTAACGGTTGAGCAATTGCTTACTATTCTATTCTTTGAGAGCCACGTAAGCACGTATTAGAACTTATCGAGTTAATAAAAATATTTTATTATTCTCAATAAATTTATATCTATGAAAAGATTTTGTAATTAATATATTATCTTTCTTTTAATTGGTTGCTAATAACATTAAATGAAAAAAATTATATTTTTTAAATAAAAATTTTGTCAATCTAAATAAATGTTTATAAATAAGAAATTCTATCAACAAACGTGTGAGCTTTTGATAAAATATTAAAAATTTAATTTTAATAATAAAAAATTATTCTTTAATAATTTCAAATAAAAAAAAAATATGATATACCCGTTAATCAGATTTTTTAAATAACCACTAATAAATATTGTTTTAAAATTTTTAAAATTTTTTATTTGAAGTAAGGGTGTAAACAATATATTTGTGCTTATAAATTATTCAAATTTAATTCGAAAAATTTTAAATTTATTTTAATTATTATCGAATCGAATTCGAATTTGAATTGTTCAATTTATCGAATAAATTGAATTTAAACATCTTAATATTTTGTTTGAATGACTCATTAATTTAATCAAATTTTTTTATTATTTTAATTATGAAATTATAATTTCATCTTTTTTTATATGTATACACTTAAATCCAACCTAAATTTTCTTAAGTCAATTTATTTCTCTCTCCCTCTCTCACTCTCACAGAACAATAGGATATAGACCCAACGACTATGTTTAGTTCCTTGCTCTACCATCGACTACAACTTTTCTTCCAACGCTACTGCCCATGCTCACTTTTTGCTCTACCATCGGCGACTAAAAACCAAAAAGGTTGAAGCTGCTTGGAGGAAAGCAATATCACAAGATTCATGCTTAAGCTGAAAAAGTTGAAAACTCCAATGTTAAGGTGGACTTCTTACTCCAAACTTCAAACTTCATGATAAATATTCTTCTCTTTAATATTCTGGGTAGAGCAGATTACTTTTCCTCCAACGCTTTCATTTTTCTTAGTTATTTTTTGAACAAATGTTGAAATTTGGGTTTTTTTCCCTCCATCATCCTCATTTGTTTGGGTTATTTTTTGAATAAATGTTGAAATTTAGGTTTTTTTTTTTCTCCATCGTCCCTCATTTGTCTTGGTTATTTTTTGGATAAATGTTGATATTTTGGTTGTTTTTGGCTAACAGTGCATATATGATTGAGAATTAAATTCATTAATTTTGATGTTGGTGACTATAAAGATCATATTAAGCAAATTGGGAATTTGGAAATTTAATTTATGTTTTTAAAATGATACAATAAATTAATAGATTTTTTAGTTTTGTAAATGAGTAATTTTACAAAGGAAGAATATGTGAATAACGTAGACAGAGCATTGAGTTTTCAAAAGGTAGTTCCAATTTTCAAATAGTGAAGTAATTTTGCAAATATAGGTGATTGAAAGTTCAAATAGGGCCATTTCTTATTAAGATGTAAGCACTCTTTTGCTTGTAATAAATAATTTTTTAAAAAAAATTTATTATTATTTGAATTTAATTAAATAAATTCGAATTTAATTTAAATTTTATTTTAAATCAAATTTAAATATAAAAAATAAAATTTAATCAAATTTAAATTAAGTATTGAATTATAATTTTTAAGTGAAATTTAAATTCGAACTAAATAATATATATATTCGATTTAATTCGATTACACTTGATTTCAAAAACAATTTGATAGAAAAATAATTGGCCAAAGTCAAGGAAAACGGTGAAATAAACGAGAAAACAATTAAACCTAGGCAGGTTCAGGGAAATAGGACGGAAAGCTTGGAGCGGTGGCTAACAGCCGCCTTGGGTGATGTCAATGTTACAACTTTTCAGTGGACGGAGGAAAGAACCTAACGAATCTCATGTAAAATGTTTAAATTTGTATATTTATATTATATTTTATATAAAAATTATAAGTCATAATTTATATTAATTTAAAATTATAAAATATATTTATTTTAATTTTATTAAATTCATATTATATATAATAATTATTAAAATTTTAAATTATATTATTTTTATGTTATATTTATATGATATTAGTATCTCATATTAATAACTTGGCCGCACTTTGTTACAATAATTTTTTACTTTATTATAATTTTTTTTACTATAAGTCAACCGGTAAATTATGAGAAAAATGAAAATTTTCATATATGAGATCTCATCCTCAATATAAATTCAAAGACAAATATAATGATAGAACTTTGTCTATAATTTCAAACACTTCAAAAAGATTAAAATGATTAAATTTCAAAGATAAATAAAACAGCATATCTCAAAAAAGAATAAAAACTAATACCTATTCATTGTAACTCTCAATAGTGCAATCATTGTTCCTTGCGTATAATCTCTATCAGACTTACAATTTACATATATAAAGTTAGATAAAACTATGACAAATATCAATTTAAATCATTTGATCAATCTAAAATATCAATAATAAAAATTTTGAATTTGGCTTCAAATAGAAAACATAAAATTAATATCATCTCATATGTAAATACTACTTCATATGTAAATTAAAACAGTTAATATAAACTCCTATATAACAAAACAAACTAAACACTTATTTTAACTTGGACTTCTCAAATAAACCAAGATCTTTAGAAAGATTCCTCCTTTATATAAAATTATCAATGTAAACAAGGGGGAGAAAAAGACAAATTGAGAAAAAAAAAAAAAAACTCTACCTCTAATGACATATTGTTTAGGGATCTATGTGCATTGCAATTTTGAACTTTTAGTTGATTCTTTGGATGAGGTCAACTATAAGAGTGTGTATAAGGAACTTTAAATTCCATGACACTCATAGTTCATAAAGGAAAGAAGGAAACAAACACCCATATGTAGATTCTCTTAAGAGAACCTTTATTCATAGTAAAAGATCCATCAATTTCAACTGTTAAATACTTACTTAGCATGACATGAAACATTCATTTTAATACATTACATTTCCAAACTTTTCTTATCACTATATAATACCAACAAACTTAGTATGAATAAACAAAAGAGAATGAAAAAAAAAAAGCCATAAAAAATAATACATCAATAGTACATTATGACAATTAAAATTTTTTTTTGAAGGGATAAAATGAAGAATTGAACTTACATTATGGTAAATTTTAACTTAAGTGTCCAATTTTGACCTCCAATTTTGCTGATCCTAATAAAAAAAATTTCAAAATTTATAACCCATAATAAGGATTACTATAGAAATTAAAACAAAGTTATATTTTCTATTATTACCTGTTTTAACCATTGAATTCTACTAAGCAGTTCAGTTCTTAATTCATTTAATTCTTAAAATTGCAAACAAAATTAAAAGCTAGAAATTTAAATGAATAAATCAAACACATTTTTTGTTAAGGTTAAATGCATATTTGACCTATAAATATTATGATTTCTGTCACATTGGTATCTAAAGAATTTTTTTACCACATCGGTATATGAATTTTCAAATCCGTTATCATGTTGGTACCTTAAACTAACATTGTTAATCAACTTTACTGACATAGCATTAACATCTAATAAGATGCTGACATGTGTCCAAAAGTCTAATCAATGCTACATCATCAATGCCATATTATCTTTAAACTAAAAATTTAGAAAATATTCAAAAAAATTCAAAAAAATAAATTCAAAAAAGTAAAAGGTTAAAAAAACTAAAAAAATTCTAATTTTTTTTTTGAAATTCTAAAATTTTTTTAAAAATGATAAAAACTCAAAAATAACTTAAAATTTTTTAAATTAAAAAAATTAAAAATTCAAATAAAAAAATAAAAAATTCTAAACAATTTTACAAAAATCCAAAATATTTTTAAATATTTTTGAAATTTATAAAATTTAAAAAAAGATATAAAAATAATAATTTTTTTAAATTGTAAAATTTTTCCAAAAATACTAAAAATTCTAAAATAATTTTAAAATTTAAAAAACAAATAAATATAAAAAATTTAAAA